GTGGCAGGATCCAGACTTCCAGGCATCCACAGGCTCCCAGGAGGGTTCAGAGTCAGACTGGGACCAGTAGCATGACCAGGTGGTCACGCACAGGAGCAGACAGGATCAGATGCAGACAGGCAGGCTCAGTGGAAGAGGGTAGCTGAGACAGGACGTAGGAACCGGAACTTGAAGCAGGACTTTAAACTGGTCTCCTCCCTGGAGCCAGGCTTACTTTGATAAAAACTGAACCTCCCCCCATAATGAGCCAAAAACCCAGAGGACTCCGGGGGGGAGGAACAGTGGACAATCAGGGGACGAGACAAACACTAAAACCCTCTATCCACTGGCAGCTAGGATCCAGGACATGAACCAAATAAAACTGAACAGAAAGACTGACAGAAAGACAAGCAATGATCTGGCCCTGAATGCTCAGGCTGAACTCAATATAAACTAGAGGATACAGGTGAGAGGAATAAATTATAATTGAGGCAGGGAGGGAAAAACAACAGGTGAAAGGAATGATTAATTAAGGGAGAGCAAACAGGCCAGATCATGACAATATCCACATGATCCATTTCTCTTTCAGTTGGAGGTTGCAGATCTTCTCTCCTTCAATCAGCTGAGCCAGCTGGCCGCCATCCCCTCACAGCTCAACGGGACGCAGGACGTAGAAAAAATCCTGACATTCATCAGCGATTCCAACTTCAGTCTTTTCTTTGACCTCCTCCAGCAAGAAATCCAAGTAAAAATATCACTTTTCAGTTTTATGTTGATAGGGTGAGAAAATTGGCACATCTATTTGCTTTTATGTGTTGACCCAGCGCTTGGATGGGTTCATAGTCCCCTGATGACATGAAAACACAGCTAGTTAATACAGCTGTGTGTCATCTACATGAAATTATTTCATCAATGTTACCAGATGTTAAAAAAAATCCCAATCCCTACAGGTTCAGTCCACCAACTACACACAGGAGATAAAGTCGGCCTTCCTGCAGGGGGTTTTTAAGCAAGGAGTTCTCAGGAATGCCAGTGATGAAGAGTTCCTGCTGTGGCTGAAGATCCGACTGAGGCCGTTCCTGGTCGACCTCTCTCCCAATCTAGTGACCTCCTTGTTTTCATCAGGGGAGAAACGGAGATGTAACATCACTCAAGAGATGTGAGAATTTCTCTACAGCTTTTGGTCAAAAGGTTGGAGGATTGTCTTCCGGGTTTCACTTTAGATTTTTATCTTTATATTTAGGATCAAACTGCTTGATTCTCAACAGACGACCTTCAGCAGCAACACAACAACTGAGATCTATGAGAACATTGTCCGACTCCTTCAAGGTTTGATAAAGAGATATGATGACATCTAACCGCAAAGTTATTCATAACCTCAGCAGATTTACGCTTTTTTTTTTAGAGAGTTACATAATTTAACCGCGTACAGTAGTAGCTATTAAAAATTTCCCAACTTTCCTCAATTGGTCCTTGGCTGGTCCCCTACAATTCCTTTTTAAACATCAATCTTTGTACTAAATTATTCTTTCTGTAATGATTTATGGACATTAAGATCTTAAGAGAAGCGGCATCTCCTGGTCAGAACCTATAATTCAGTAAAAGGGTGGAGTAAAAAAATATGCAAGAGGGGGTCACTCCAGCGACTGGAAGTTGGAGGGGATTTGGCTGGGAGTTACAGGGAAGTGGGCTGCCATTCGGCTGGCATTTGACTGGGGGGGGGGCATTTTGAATGGCTGCTACTGTAAAATAACCATCAATTAGAAAACATCCATGAAGAATCCTTGATAAATTTAGTGTTAATCAGTAAAAAAAAAAAAAAAATTGTAATGATCACCGAGTCTGGGAGCGGCCATTTTACCTCACTCCTGACATCTTCCGGCAGTGACGTCACGGTGCGGTGAAATGACTATGACTTGGAAGACTGAGCATCACCAGCATATTTCCAAGGACTTCACCATTGAAATTCACCAGAGCTATAGTGAAACTGACAATGCCCACGTGCATGGCAGCTGGATGTTGCAATACATCGGGTAGAAGTGGAAAAAAAGAGTTATTTCACCTTTCTGATTCCTGATCCTCCACGGACGGGTTGGTCGTTGGATTGCCAACTTGAAGAGGGAGGATTTGCCATCAAACTTCTGGCCAGAGAAAAAACCCGTAATATGTAGCCAACATTTGGAAGAAGAATGTTTTCAAGATGACTTGGATAATAGCGCGTTGTGACAAACACCAGATACAGCACTGGGACTTGATCAACAGCCAATACCGGCTAAGTGGCAGTAGTGTTGTCAGAGTGACAAACATGGATGACTCCAGTAAAGCACATTCAAATGAAAATTACTCTTAATTAAAAAAACGTATCATTTA